CATGCTGTTCCCTTGTCTAGCCAATTCATTCCTGACTTTTTTACTTGGCTAATGCCTGGTCATCTTCTTGGACGTGATATAAGCATCAGCTCCTCCCCTCACTCTCGAAAAACTAGGTTAGGAGTCTTCCCTCTAATCTCACAAAGAATCCAGTGAAATAGCTCTATGTTCAGCTTTAATACCGAATGATCTGCTTATATATTTAGCAGACATGTTGGTGCCTCATCAGATCAACTTGAATCCTCCTGACTAGCTTCTGTGCCTATCCAGCAGTTTCTGTGTGCTTTGAGTCTCATGAATCATCCCTGTGGCCTTCGAAGAACTACCTTGGGCTGCTGGAGCCACTTCACCAGGATGCACTAAGTGTAGAAAGTGCCCGGGAATTTGTGTTCTCAATGCATTAAATATAAGATCTAGTGTCAGGTCTCATAACTACCTATTTTTGAAGTAGTAATGTGCACAGGCCGACATTCTAACCACTGAGCCATGCCGGCCAGGGCTAAAATAAATAACTTTTTAAAAAGTCTAATCAGACATGATCACTCGAAACTATGGAAAAAACTGAGAAGGGAAAAGGAGGATCTTTTCTGGTTATTATTCAAGCCACATTCCCTGGGAGATTTAGAACAATTGCCTCCAAGGCCAGGATTCTATAGATTGTCCCTAGGAACTGCCTCTCCAGCTCCACCTTCACTGAAATTAAAGACAGAGCGACATGAGTGCAGATGATGTAGTAAAAGGAAATTGCCTGTGAAAACCGCTGACTGGAGATGCCACATAAAACAGCAGGGTTAATGTCATGCTGTTCAGATACATTTGCCCTCACAATTCAGAAGCCCTTCTGTATACCAACGTTGCAGCTAGAGCCTGTTCACCTCCATTGAGCCACAGGCCACAATCGTTTCCTGTTACCTTAGGTATTTTTCAGTTTAACCACTGTTGCCGAAGTTTTCTAGTTTTATTGGTTCCAATCAACCTCTGAAATGGCCTAATGAGATAGTATTTATCTTACACAATCCCAGTTTAATAGCCACTTTCTCTGTGAAGCCTTCTCTAACCTTCTTCCTGCCCTTGCCCCGAAGCGTTAATCTTCCGTGCCCCATGTCAGCTGGGGGGGCCCATAGCTGCAAGTACAGAAACCGCAACTAGTGGCAACAGAGGCAAAGAGGCGGTTAATTTTCTCACATAGTAAGAAGCACGGAAGGGGATGGTTTCTGGCATTAGATTAGCTGATGAATGGCATCCTCAGGGCTCTGCCACCCTTAGCATGTCGGTGTGCATCTTCATGCTAGTTGTCTCATGGTCATACAATGGCTGCTTCCTCTCCAACCATCACATCCAAGTTCAAAGCAGGAAGAAAGGATGACTTTAGTTGGGTCTGTCCCTTATTCTCATTGGCCAGAACTGTGTCACATGGCCGTGGCTAGTTCCAGGGATAGTAGAAAAGCTGAGTGTATTGTCATCCTTCCTCTCTCTAAAAAATCAATGCACATATTCTCAAGTGAGGATTAAAATAAATAGGCAGAGGACCTGAATAGACACTTCTCCAAAGAAGACATACAGATGGCCAATGGATATGTGCAAAGATGCCTGACACCCCTAATCATCAGAGAAATGCAAATGAAAACCACAATGAGGTATCGCCTTGCACCTGCCAGAATGGATATCATTAATAAATCAACAAACAACAAGCGCTGGGGAGGGTGTGGAGGAAAAACAACCCTCTTGCACTGCTGGTGGGAATGCAGACCGGGGCAGCCACTGTGANCCCCTAATCATCAGAGAAATGCAAATGAAAACCACAATGAGGTATCGCCTCGCACCTGCCAGAATGGATATCATTAATAAATCAACAAACAACAAGCACTGGGGAGGGTGTGGAGGAAAAACAACCCTCATGCACTGCTGGTGGGAATGCAGACTGGGGCAGCCACTGTGGAAAATAGTGTGGAGGTTCCACAAAAATGTAAAAATGAAACTGCCTTATGAACCAGCAATTCCAGAATTGGGACTATATTCGAAGAAACCCAAAACACTAATTAGAAAAGATATATGCACCCCTGTGTTCATTGTAGCGCTATTTACAATAGCCAAGGTATAGAAGCAACCTAAGTGTCCATCTATAGACGAGTGGATAATGGCTTTCAACAGCCATCAACCTTAAAGACACCGAGAGTCTTATAATCTATTCATTTCTCTTCCCAGTTCAAGCGTTGATATTGCAATGTGTTAGATGGAGTTTCTTGCCTCGAAACAGGATCAATATGTAATATTGGAATGCAGTCTTGGAGAAATGGTTTATGGACTCCTAAATGGCATTGGCTGTTTTAGTGAGTTGAGTATGTCAGCTATGAATGGCTTATTTAGGTCTTGGTTAATCCAAAAGTGGGCAACTCTGTATTCCAATTACTGCATCTGGCTGTCCTTTCAGAGATCATGATAAAGCCTGCGTATCATTGAATCAGCCAAGTCATTATACAAGAGAGAATTTGAGTCTGTTGCAATTTGGGAATGTGTATTCTGACTCATCTACAAAGCTATAAAGTACAGCATTAATTTTTTAATTGACATATTTAAAATACCCCAAAGGCAAAAAATTTTGTACAGATTATGAACCAACCAATAAATAGAAAGTTATTTTTAAGGCTTCTGTGCACACCAGGCTTCTTAGCCTCCTCAGAGAGTAGAAAAGGGTAAGACAGAGTTGCTACCTCTCCAATCTCCTACCACCTACAAAAATCACACAAGAAATCCAAATTCAAGGTAGACAAATCAGAAAATATGGATAGGAATTATAAAATACAGGTGGAATCACACAAACCAAGGGAGCAACTGTTTGGATTTATGGCCTTGCAAACCCTTATATGCAAATACACTTATATAAGTGTGGTAGTATGTATGCGTTCTTATACATAATTTAACAAAAAAAGAGATCATACACTATTTTATAACACTTTTCAGTGCAGTGTAAATGCCTTTACTTGTCACTAAATATGAATTTACATAATCTCTTTTAACAGTATCTTATTGATTGATGAAGTGTAGTTTATATAACCCATCCCCTGTGGTATATTTTGTTAGGTTTTGATCATTTATTATAGTCAGCATTTTGGAAAAAATATCCCTGGTTCATGTTTTTGTGCACTTGTCTGATATTTCTGCAGAATCAGGTGTTAAGATGTATTTTAGCATCTTACAGTCTGGTTGAAGAGACAGAACTCATACATGCAAGAAAGAAAGCAAGTTCATAAAGTGGGGAGGGAGGAATGTCTAAATTAGTTCAACAGCCAAGAGCCAAGGCCAGAGAGACCATTTCACGCTTGGGTCGCTGCATAAGGCTTCGTGAAGGAGAGTTGTAAGTGACAGAAACTTAAATCGAATCAGCATAGGTGCAAAGGGTGTATGATCAGCTCATGAAATTGTTAGTCCACTTTGATTTCAGACTGAGCCGGCTCCAGAGTTCACATGGTGTTACTGGGCACGTGCGCACGTGTGTGTGTGTGTGTGTGTGTGTGTGTTCCTGTGCCATCTCTTGGTGTGAGGTGCATTCTGAGGCAAGCTCTGTCTATATGGCAGCTGCCTCCAGTAGCTGCAGACTCGGGTGGTATTTATGTGCCATAAGGAGAGAACCCCTCCCTCCCAGCTGCTCGGTTAATCCCTTGCAGAACTTTTGCTCACCCGCCACTGTACAAAGGCAAGTGGGTGTTCTGGTGGCTAGTTTGGGTCATGTGCCTGCTCCCTGTGGTGAGGGAGGTGGGCAGCGTGGGACTGAAGGCCCTTCGCGCACCCATTAGATGCTTTGGACTGCAAGCAGCAGGGACACTCCAAATCACTGGTCTGTTTGCCAATATGTTATGTTATGAAGTCCGGAGGTGTAGAGTGGACTCTAGCACATGATCCGTGGCTCAGTGATGTCATTAAGTTGACCGAGGCTCAACTTTATCTCAAATCAGATTTCCCTCAATATGACTGCCGATGGCCATCTGGACTCCTAGCCTCTTTGTCCAGAGACAGCTCTTAAGGGTGAGAAATCGTGCCCTCTGTCAAGAATTATAAAGCCTTTTCTGCCATCTGATTGGACCAGACCTAGGTTGTGTGCCCGCCTCTGAACCAATAGCAGTCACCAGGGACTACTGCACACTGACTGGCCAATCGATATCTACTCCTGGAGGAAAGGGTGGGGTTACCTTCCCCATGGGATACGTGGATATTTGAATGAAACTGGAGTCCCATCAGAAGGACTGGATGACGCACGCTGGGTGTCAACCAACAATGGAATCTGAGTAAAATTTCATTAGTTGAAAACACTGAGCTGGATAAGGTAGAGAGGTGATTTATGGCCTGGTCATAGCTGACCAAAGATGCGAAACAGGATGACAGAGGCTGTCCTGCAGGGAACAGGAGAGTGAACAAGTTCCATTTGGAAGTAGTCATTTATCTGATCCTTTATTGCTAATGTACTTATTGAGCACCTGCTATGCACCAGGCCCTATGCTGAGGTGAGTGCTGGTGATAAATGAAATAGATACAGTTCATATTCACGTGGACTTCCAGTGGGAAAGACAAAAAACGAATGAATTTCACAGGTAATGTGTCAAGAAAACAAGGCAGGGTGGGGGGATAGGGAGAGATGGGAGGGAGAAGAGCCCAAGGTTGGCATCGATCTGGGGACCTGAAGGACATGAGGAAGTGAGCCAGGGTGATTTGGGGAGAGTGTATTCCAGGCAGAGAGAACAGAAAGTGCAAAGGCTCTAGGGTAGGGGTCCAGGGCATGTTTGGGGAGCAAAGGGGTGGACAAGGGGGAGAGTGGTAGGCAGTAATGTCAGGGAGGAGGCATGAGATCACGTGGGGCCTCGCAGGCATTGCAAAGACTTCATACCCTGAGTAAGATGTTGAATTCTTGATGACAGAGGATGTTGTTGAAAGAGGGTGGCCAGGCCCTCAACCTGTGGCTCTGCCCTGACTCTGGATTTAACCCCTTCTCCTCTCCTCTCTTCCAGGCCATGTACATGTTCTACGCGCTGGCCATTGTATGTGACGACTTCTTCGTCCCCTCCTTGGAAAAGATCTGCGAGGTGCGTGCCTTGATTCTCACCAGCTCTCCCCGTTCCGTTTGGCCAGAACTCATGGTGCTTTTCGTGTTCTGCTTCCGATTTTCTTTTTCTCTTCTAAATTCTGCTCTTCCGTTCTCCCTGTCTCTCCCCCCATCTTCCTCTCCGCCGTTCCCTTCTGCTTCATACCCTCCTTTGGTGCTTCGTGGGTCCTTGTGGAGTGAGAGCTCTCCAGCGGCACGTGTCCATCGCTCTTCCTCTGTGTGTATGTATAGAAATGCTCCAAGCAGAGGCCCGAAAGGTGAGAAGATGAAAGAACAGACCACAGAGACTTGGAAATGGACTCTTCAAACCGGCCCAGTGACACTGGGCTGAATACCAAATTATTGCCTTGCATCAGAAAATACTCAGCTTATCTAGAACACTTTCGTTCTCTTGCCTCTTTCATCTCTTTGCCTGGAAGCTTTCCATTTTATTTTTGATTCAGAATCACTTTCCAGAAGGGATCTCTCCCAGATGCACCTCGCATCTGGAATCTACGTAGTTCTCAAATTCTGTTGTCCCTCCCTTGCCTCCCTCCCTCCCCGCAGGTGTCAGATTGAGCAGGTCTTGGGGACCAGCAGGGACCAGATGTTCCATTTCTAATAAGTTTTCAGGTGCTGCTGAAGCTACCGGTCCAAAACCACACTGAGAACCACTAACTCAGGCAGTTTCCTCTGTATCCTGGAAGTCTGTTGATTTTGTGTACTTAAAAAAGTAAAAGAATCGAGGCCCAGGAGCGGGTCCCTTATACCGTGGAGATAGGAGGAGGAAGGAGCGAGGGGACAGTGGGCAGGTGTGGAAGCCCTTGTTCAGAGTGTTAACCTGAGAACAGGCTGCCTTGTGTGGAGATGAAGGAGCTCTGAAGCCCCTGTCACTGGGGTCATTTGGGATCCCTGAAATACCACCATGTGGTGGCTTATTTTTCATGCAAAGCAAACTACTCTCTCTTCTCCACAAAGATTTAAAAGAACATAGCTAAGTCCCTGTTCTAGCAACATCTACACAGTTCTCAGAATGTGTTCCACTGAGCCGAGGAAACCCGTAGAACCAGTAGCACAGCCAGAGGAAGCGAGACGCAGCCCAGGGTGGTCCTTCCATCAAGGGCCATAGGGCGCAGAGCAGCTCCCGAGTGAGACACACCGGGGGCTGGATGAAGTGCAGGGACATTGGAAAGAGCAGAGGGAGGAAAGGGGAGGACAGGCGATTCAGCCAGGGGACCAGGCAGGGGCTAGACCGGCGCAGGCTGGGAGGAAGGGGCTCCAGGGCAGCGCATTTCCAGGAATGATGTTTGAGCAGAGAAGACTCTGAGCCACAGAGCCAAGCAGGGAACCGAGGGTTGGAATCTGCGTGGCGAGCCTGGAGCATGAGAGCCTGGGTGTGAGGAGTTGTGCAGTGCTCAGGAGGGAGCTGGGAAGGCTTTTGGCATCTGTGTTCAGTAGATGGAAGGAGTCTAGAGGCAGGAAGACCCCTTGATGGTGATTCTAAGAGTCCAGTGAGATGCTGCCAAGGCTAGAGTGAATTAGGAATGAAAGAGGAAGGGATAGAAGAAGATGTGGAGGAAGGAGCCAACTGAGTGGGTGAAGGAGAGAGGAACTGGAGGTGATCCCAAGGTGTGGACTCCAGAACTAGCGCCCCATCAGGGAGCCCGAGATGGAGAAGACAGCAATGCAAGGCTCACAGCTCCTGGCAGGTCTTGGCAAGCCACCCAAGGAATGTGAGCTCTGCTTTAGGTGACCTTCCCACAGACCCCTGCTCAGAACCCCGTGTGAAGTTTAGCTGTTCAGTGAAGAGCGAGGAACCCCAGGATTCCAGGTCAAAATGCTCCATTAGGGCTCCTGCTGAACACTTGCTGGTCGGTGGAGCCAGCAGCCTACACCAAGGCCCTGCTGCCCCTCCCTGGCTGAGCAAGGAAGTGCAGCTACCAGTGCCCCTGGGAAGTGTCATTCAAGGCTGGCATCTCTCAGCTGGGGCGCAAGGGGAACTGGCTATGTACTGATGGCCAGCAGCTCACTTTCTGAGTCATGATTGAAAGCAGAAACCTAACATGCTAACCAGCCTCTGATGTGTATTTGTCTTGCAAATCACCTTTGGATTAGCCGCCAGGGTGACCTGGAGAGTTTGTTGCATAAAATATCTTGGCAGAGCTGATGCCTCATTACTTTCTACTCACCCCTCACTCTCCCTGCCCCAGGCTTCAAGATTGAGGACGGGAAGCGGGTTTCAGGAGGGTGACCCTCGCCCACCCCCTACGCCTCCAGAGCCTCTAAGAATCAAGGCTCGAAAGCTGTTACCGTGAGCCTAATTTACCTGAGATCAGCATGGTATTGAAAAACATCAGGATATTTTGCATTTTTTAAAACGTGGATTTTTGGCATCTCAAAAAATAAGGACACTAGGATGGAAGGCAACTAGATTTCAGGTGGTAGGCACACAGTAGAGTATATAGACGTTGTATTATAAACATAGACACCTGAAACTTACATGATGTTATTATTAACCAATGTCACCCCAATCACTCTAATTTAAAAGTAGAGACATTTGGAAACTCAGAGGAAACTGAGTGGTGCTGCTGTCAGAAAGGAGGTGAATGCCTGCTGAGCCCCACACTGGCCACTCCACTCCTCCCTGCTATCTGCACCGCCCCCGGGGGCATTGGGATTGGGGACCCTAGGGCTTGTCAAGAGCCTTTAACTCGAGTGGCCATGCAGCCCTCGCCCTGATCTTGCCCCTCGAGGAGGACAATGAGAGGAGCTGTGGCCGAGCCTGGGAGGTCGGGCAGGAGTGGCCGGGCTCTGGGAGGGGGAGGCAGAAAGGGTCAAGCTTGAGACCGGGTAGTCACAGGGTCCCCAGGGGGAATTCCACTCACCTGTGCTTTGTCCTTGCTCCTTTGTAGCGCCTGCACCTCAGTGAAGATGTGGCTGGGGCCACGTTCATGGCGGCGGGCAGTTCGGCCCCAGAGCTGTTCACATCTGTCATAGGTAGGTGACACCCTGGGGACGTCTCAGCCCCGCCCTCTCTAAAGGACAGGGGCTCCATGGCTACTGTTCATTGTTATCTTATTAAAGTAATGCTTTTACTTTGCGTGGACATGTCCCAGACCCAATGCCAATGCTCTAGTGGGACAGTGTCCCCAGTGCCGATCGGAAAGCTCTCCAACCCTCGACGGTTCCCTGTGTGTCCTCTGTGACCAGTGTAACACAAGGAACTCCTCCGCACACACTTTGGAATACAACCCGCCACGACAGCCAGGCTGAGGTTGGCTCTGTGTTTCAGGCGTCTTCATCACCAAGGGCGACGTGGGAGTTGGGACCATCGTGGGCTCGGCGGTGTTCAATATCCTGTGCATCATCGGGGTCTGCGGGCTCTTCGCTGGGCAGGTAAGAGAGGTGGCAGAATGTGGCTCTGGGGACGGGAGCTGCGCCAGCCTGGCAGGAGCATGGCCAGCGGTCTTGTCGGAGAGCGACGACCTGGCTCCACACCCCCGGAGGCTGGGCCAGCCGGGCCCGGGACTTCTCAGGCCCCATCCTTCGGGCTCCGTGTTGATGGAATATGGGGTTCCCAGGTTCATGTGAACAGTTAACCAGCCCGAAGATGTGGGCCACGAATCCGAAGGTGTCATGCCCATTCTGATAGTATTGATCTGAATTGGAAAACGTAAAACAATTTTAGGTATGGTTTTGCCTCATTGGAAATAGAGTAAAAAAGAGAGAGGGTGGGAGACAGAAAATGACACAGTTTTTTTCCTGCTAAAAGCAATCTGTATGCATCACAGTTTAGGGCTCGGTCTATCTTTATCTACATGAAGCATTTTATTTACGTGTTCACTTTAGGTTGCTTTTGGGTCACGAGGGATTTTGCGTGCCTGCATTTTACCTATGAAGACTGTTCCTCTGCTCCGGGGGTGTCATGGGGTCCTTCTCCTTTATGAACTCTGGTGTGCTTTTGGAAAGTCTTGGGAAGGTACCCCGAGGTCACGGAAGTGTGAGCCTTTCTGGCATCCATGGCGTTGCAGCTGCAAATGGGTTGGCAGCCGTCCTGCCAGCACTCATGGCCTAGTTTCCTTGTAGGAATTGTATTTAGAAACAGCACGATCTTGAGCTCTCTGCCCAAACACCCAGGATTCTGAGTATCTTCGAGGAAACGTGACTTCTAGAAGCCCATCGAGGGTGCTCCACTTGCAGTATTGAGGCACTTGGTGGTCTAAACGAGCTCTCTGGCTGTGGAAGATACAGGGTCTTGGTGGAAGTGGCCAGTCGGTTTGAAGGGCTAAAGAAGGCTCCTGCGAAGTTTCTCCCACGCCCTTTTGCAGGCCCCTCGGCCACTTAGCCGGCCAGGGACACCCCATGCAGCCCGTCTCTCTGACGCAAACGAGAATGTAACAGCAGGCTGCACTCGGGCCCCCCATGGCTGTTCTCCACTCCTGCCTTTTACTTTCAATTTATTTGCCTGGGTAGCCTGGTGAGTTTGTTACTTCTGGGCGACAGGCAGAAGGACACCTTGATCTCGTCAGGAATCAGCTCCAGCTCCCACAGGTGGACAGTTACTTCTGAAAAGGGACAGTGTGGTTATTGAGTTCTGCCCAACTTGTTAGACTGAGCATTTTCTTTCTTTGCCCTTTTGGTCGGTTATCTCTTGTCTTAGATTTTGTGGACCCACAATATGGTGTTTTTAGATCGCCTATAAATGTAGTTAGTACCAAAAAAAGTCTCCCCCTTTGAGCTTTGCCTTCACTTCCATTTGTACTTCACTGGGTCTCACCTGAGTTGGGATGAACTGTTCCATCCTGCAGAAGAGCCTGTTGCTATTAGCGCTCTCCTAATTAACACTGTCGCCATTAGCAGGCAGTTATTAGCTTGGCCCTTCTTAGTGTTGTCATTAGTTCATTAATCATTTGTACCTGAAACCTGATGCAAAGACAAGCCCAGTGAGGGAGAAACAAAGTAAGGAAATGAAATAAACGACTGGGATGTGTCTAGTAAATGCCATGCAACTAATGACATATGAAGTGGCTTGAATGCACGTGTGTTTCATAATGTATTAGCAATGCAGTTAATCAGTTTTCTTGTTAGAACAACTACTTAAAAGGCAAAGTGCTTCCTAAACTTTAGTGAGTGCTGATACCAGTCACTCTACCCCTCCGGAAGGTCTTTGCCCAGCTCATCTCACAGCCCTACAGCGGTTGAGGAGAGAAGTGTCAAATGTGATGATGTTAGAAGGAGCCCACCTGATGGTGCTGGGTGCCAGCCACTCCTTCTGTCTTTCCTTGTCTTGTGCCTACTTGGAGAGCTCCAAAGCGACACAGCTCTCTTCTTCAGGACTTTGTAAAATCCCCAAAGTCTTTGCAGAGGGAGCATAATCACATTTTGGGAATCAGACTGGCCTGGGTTTGAATCTTCACTCTGCCATTTCCTGTCTAGGGAGCCTTGGAGAAGTTGCTTCATCTCTTTAAGCCTCAATTTCCTCATCTATAGAGTAGGTACAAGTGCACCTACCTCCCAGCATCACCTTAGGGATGAAACATAACATGCTCAGCAAACAGCACCTGGCCCACACAGTAAGCGCTCAACAAAAATAGGACACCATTATCAGCTCTCAAAAGAATAGTGATCCCTGGGTCTCTTGCTTCCAAATTACACCCTGGGCCACTGTGGTAATTTAACCAGCCAGTGGGAGGAACTTACAACTAACTTGCAGAACAGCAGCCGCGTGTCCCGAGGCGAGGGAAAGGAAGGTCAGGGAGAAGGTCTCTCAGTGAAAATCCAAATGAGGAGATGTTGGTGAGAAGAACCATCTCAGAGGACTGGTCCTTGTTTCTGTGCTGTCTGATCGGTGGGAGGAAAAGAAAAATCAGTAAGAAATGAACCATGCCTGGCATATTGAGCCGCCCTCCAAGGCGGGGGAGCCGGTGCAGCAACATGTTCCAGCAAAGGATGGTTATTGGCAATTGAACTGATTAATAAATCCAATCACGGGTCTCACTCAGCATTGTGATGTTGCTCCACGCTTTCATTTGGCTGAGAGAATTACCAGCGAGCGCCCACGGGCCTCTCTCTAATGTATTCCTGCATGGAGGGCTGCTCTGACCAAGACTGTTACCCATCTGAAATTAAAGTAATTAAGCCGTAAGGTTTGAGTTCCTGTCTCAATTAGGCTTGTGATGAATTTGATGTAATTAAATGTCTTCTGTATTTGCAGTTTGCAAACATGCCCAGTGCTTCGCTGTTCGCCCAAGGTGCTTTGGGGAGTTTTACGGGACAAGAAGGAAATTGTTTCTTAGAAAGTGGCTTATAGAGTGGTTCTCGGCTTCCCCTCAAGACATTTATAGGGTTGTGGTCCTACAGGGGTTTTTTTATTTAAAAACAAAAAAAATTGTAACAACAAAGAGAGAATACCAATTTATTTCAGTTTTGTAAAACAATGTACTTATGAATTTAAATCCACCATGCAAAGCATGTTAAGCTTTAAAGATATAACCACAGAGAGTAAACAGTTTAACTGCATTCCAGGTTAGGACTTTCATATTCCAGCTACTACAGGCCGGCAGATGGCTCCAGTTTATAAGAAAGAGCTTCACCATCAGCTCTCCTGGCATCCTCCAAGTGTACCTGATGTTCATTGGCAAGGTCCCTCTAATCTTGGCTGGGTTTGCAGGCCCCTTTACACAAACCAGAGCAGCACCCAGAGGCTGCACATCTAAATTGAAACCTGCCTTCAAAGTTCAATGTCACTAATCATTATCAGAGAGATGCAAATTAAAACCAGCATGAGGTATCACCTCACACCTGTCAGCGTGGCTATCATCAATAAATCAACAAACCACAAATGCTGCTGAGGGTGTGGAGAAAAGGGAGCCCGGTGCACTGCTGGTGGGAATGCAGACTGGGCAGCCACTGTGGGAAACAGTATCAAGATTCCTCAAAAAATTAAAAATGGAACTTCCATTTGACCCAGTGATCCCACTGCTGGGAATATAGCTGATGAAACCCAAAACTAGTATAAAAAAATGTGTGCACCCCTGTGCTTATTGCAACTTTATTTATGATAGCCAGGATCTGGAAACAGCCCAAGTGCCCATTAGTAGATGGGTGGATAAAAAAGCTGTGGGACATTTACACCATGGAATACTATGCAGCTGTAAAAAAAAAAAAAGAAGAAAAGAAACTCTTACCCTTTGCAACAACATGGATGGACCTGGAGAATATTATGCTGAGTGAAATAAGCCAGTCAGAGAAAGACAAATAACATATGATCTCACTTATATGTGGAATCTAATGAACAAAAGAAACTGACTAACAAAACAGAAACAGGTATGGATACATGGAATAGACTGACAGTTGTCAGACAGGAGGGGGTTACAGGTCTGAATAAAAGAAGGTGAAGGGATTAAACAAAAAAAAAACCATATACATAACACATAGACACAAACAGCATTTTGGTGACAGCCAGAGGGAAAGGGACTTGGAAGGTAGATGGAGTTGGGCAAAGGGGGCGGGAAATGGGGAAGGAAAGAGACTCTGCTTGGGGAGATGGGGGCACAATGCAGGGTACAGGTGATGCTTTGTTGAGTTGTGCACTTGAGGCCACCTCAGCAAGCGTTGATAGTTTATGGAGGGAGAAAATACTATGAAATTCCACTCCATGAAGAAAATGGCACCAACTAAAATGAAGACTCTGGTTCCAGGCGTTGTCTTGAACATTTGAGTCACTGTCCGAGCAGAGGGAACATGCCATTGTTCCTAGGACACTGTAAAAGGTTAGTCTGCTAACCTCTCAAGCTGGAGTCAGAAAGCAGCAATGCCACGGGCAATAGGAAGAGGTGTGTGCTGTGACTGCTCCCATTCCCTGCAGCAGTGAAATGCTTGAGGAGGCTACAGAAGTGTGGGGAATCCCTTTCCTGCTGGGAGACCTTCGTGGTGTCAGGCTGTGGGCTCCCTCAGAGCCCAGTGCATCTCTGCCCGTTTCCCACTTATCCACAGCACCAGAGAATTGCCACCCGCAGTAAATGCTCGGCGGGTCTTTGATAAGTGACTGCTTAACTGATATGATGCCCTTCACACAGGTGGGGGGGGTATATGGACCAGAAATAGTGTTCACAGTGCCCCATTCCCTGGCACTAACATGCTCAGGAACTATTTGGCAGGTGCCTGAGGAGTTAGATGAATGCACAGATGAGTGTCACAACCTGCCACCAAGTACCCAAAAGACAGGGTGGATTGAAACAGCGAAAACTCTTTGAACATAACCTGAGACACAGTCATGAAACAGAATTATCGGTGTTACGTGATTTTTCATTCACTGTGCAGGTACAGGGCACACAGAGGTGAACAAGAGAGGAAAGGTTCCTGCCCCTCTAGAGCTCATAGGCCAGCGGGGGATC